CCAAAGAAGGTGGAATATACGGTTTAACCAGGTCTTGGTTAACACAACAACTTGGGATGGAAATGAGACGAACACGGACGCTATTGACATTTCTGGCTGCATGCTCTCCCAGGTCATAAAGTGCCCTTGCACTTGCAAAGCTGATGAACTAAAGGCGTCAGCGATTGGTATTGGTCAGCGATAGGTATTTTAAAGCAATCCAAATTGCACAAAAGCTTTTGAAACAAAGCATTACAAATCAACTGGTTGCCTGTTTGTTCGAAAACTGGTCAACAACAACTGGTAATGTATCAAATTTAAAATTTCAATAGAGGAGTAGGAAGTAGGAAGATCAACTCTGAGTGGTAATCTGGTAATTCTGGTTATCTCGTGATGACCGTTGTTGTATCTTAAAATGTAGACGCAGACACCGACAAAACAAACATTTCTGCCTGCATATTCTCCAAAAGGACACTATCGACAAGCACATTTAACACATCGAAGGCCCTCTTTGGTCTTCGAGTGGAACATTTTTTAGAGTCCCAATTTAAGTGGATCGTGTCGGTTCTTAGAACGGTGTGGTCGGAGTTGAGTTGAGCGATCTATGCTTTGTATCCACTCACCACTTTGCGAACTCTATTGTGTTTCACAATTCATTTCGACCGGAAACGACTCAGGTACTCGATAAATATTTGTTGTACATATAAATGTACTCATACATATTTTTTTTATAAATATTTCTATAACCTTCTATGTAAAATAAATATATGTATGTACTTGTACTATGACTTTTCCTTGCTATGGCCAAATATATACAGATATGTATGGTTGTATAAATAGTTTTATATTCTAGGTACTTACTCAGCGACGTCCGGTTCGGATTCTTCATCATTTTTCGTTGCCGGCAAATCATACACAGAACTGTTGTTCCTGATAGCAAACGCATTCTCATCAGATTGAATTTGTAGTTGGTCAACCTATAATCGACAAATTATAAATATATATATTTACACAAAAGGTTCAAGTACATCATTCCATACCAGCTTGGTTACTTCTTGGTCTTCTGCTTTTTTAACCCAATCCGTCATATTTAATGTTTAGCTCACAACAAAAGAATTGATAAAATTTAAGCGTAAATATCAATAAGTCGATACTCATTCGATATCGAATTATTATCGATTTAAAGAACTAATGCAAAGTTAGAACACTAAATAATCGAACACTGGATAGCATTAAAATATTAAGGTAGACTCCAGTTTTAAATTACATTTGGGTTTTTAGGTAATCCCGCTTTCACAAATTTTTCTCATCTATACATATGTTTCAGTATTCTCTGATAAACAACAATAGTTGACCTTTCGTAAGTATACAATTTTTTTTTTTTAATAATAATATTTTCCATAGCTTGTTTAGACGGAAGAAAGTGCGTGATTGAAAAAGATCAAGACATCTTTAAGCTATTTTAAAATTTGTTTTATGAATAATAGTTGTTTTTTGTGACAGTCTATATATATTATATCTGTATTTTTTTCAAAATGGTAACATTAATATTTCAAGAAAACTGGAAAAGTTGAACGATAAAAAACTTTGAAATGCGATTTAAGGAGGTTCGCCCATTTTCTAATTTAAAAGTTTAATATATTCCATACGGTATGCCGGAGCTACAAAGAGATATGATTTTAGATTTTAGGAATTGCAAAAATTCAATGCAAACAGATATAAGATACTTTTATGTGAAAATAAGGCACTAAGATTAAAAATAAGTGAAACAAATTTAAAATCTTAACAATTAAAAAAATAAATGCTCCGGTTTTCACCATCTTTTTGGACAGCAATAAAAGAAAAGGCAGTAAAATTTGTTTAACGGAACTTTGGCAATAAATAAATATTTACGCATATCAGCACAAATGTGCATGTAACAGCACTGAGTGTTCTCGTAACATGCGCATAACAAGACAGCGCGGTAAGGACAGCTATTTCCCGCCACATTTAACTTTAAATGTTGCTGCAACAAATTATTTTGTGATAATTAGCAATTTCATTTTCTGAACCCGAGCTCCCTTACTATGTTGTTTCATTTACTTCGTTCCACAATCAAAGTTTATTTATTATGTCGTAAACGCTGTGTGTCGGTGCAACTCTGATTGTATTTTCGCTCGTCAGAAGCCAACTTCACGTCCTTCCTTCTTTTAGAATTTGGTCGTCTTGTAAGCAGGGTGTGTATAATATTGGATGTAAAGAATCTAGTGATACCTTTGCAATCTTTCGTTTAGTGTGTTATTTTTCAATTTATTGTGTCGATCAGCAATACCGGAGTTCATTTTTCTATATATATCGTAGACCTCGTTATGCGGCAAATATTTCTTGCATATTTTACTTTGGCTGGACGACCTTAATATATTTTTAAATATTTGAAGCTAGTCTACCTTCTGAATAAATTTGAACATATATTAAACCCTTATTGATATTTAAATTATAGATAACAAAATGCACATCTTTGGATTTAAAATGACTTTACAGTCAAATGAATTGATGGACCGATGATGTGACTGTTATTAAATATATAAATAACATATAAATTTGTTACTAGGTCTATCAAGCATTGGAAATGGGGGCCTATCGTTATATGCAAGAACTGTATAGGAAGAAGCAAAGTGATGTTATGCGTTACTTGCTGCGTATACGCGTCTGGCAGTACCGCCAATTGACGAAACTTCATCGTTCGCCTAGACCCACGCGCCCAGACAAGGCACGTCGTTTGGGATACCGGGCCAAACAAGGATTCGTTATTTACAGGATTCGTGTCCGCCGTGGAGGACGCAAGCGTCCAGTGCCAAAAGGTTGCACCTACGGCAAGCCAAAAAGCCATGGCGTTAACCAACTAAAACCCTATCGCGGATTGCAGTCAATTGCCGAGGTATGTAAAAAGAATAAAAAAAAGGGTTGTACAAAATATAATTTTTCTTCTCATGATGACAAAAATTTTGGTCAAAAAAAAAAATGTTGACATAACTTCCTTAGATGTCTGAAATTATTTTCCAATATAAATAACTATATACCTATATGTTTCATTAAAACTAATAGTTGAACTATTGTTTTTTTTTCCTAGGAACGTGTCGGCCGTAGACTTGGTGGATTGCGTGTCTTAAATTCCTATTGGATTGCACAAGACGCTTCATACAAGTACTTTGAGGTCATTTTGATTGACACTCATCATAGTGCGATTCGCCGTGATCCTAAAATCAACTGGATATGCAAACATGTGCACAAGCATCGCGAGCTTCGTGGTCTTACCTCTGCCGGTAAGAGCTCCCGTGGTATTGGCAAGGGCTATAGATATTCCCAGACAATTGGCGGATCTAGACGTGCTGCCTGGAAGCGCAAGAACCGTGAGCATATGCACAGGAAACGTTAAATTGTAAAGTTTCATTTCCGTCGAACGCGGCTTTTGAATAACAGTGATGTATTTGAAAGAATAAAAAAAATGTATATCGCATTTTGTGTGTTTAATTTAGTCGCGCAGGTAACGAACCGCCGAACCTGTGGATAAAAATCTATTGCAAAATATGAGTTCTGAGATGAGTCTCTGAGATCGACTATAAAAGCTAGAGCAACCAAATTTGGTATCCACACTCCTGTGATATCGGACCTTGACCGTTTTGTGTCAAAATTTCGCAACGAGCCCAACTGTATTCTGAGTACCTTGTATCATATCGCTATCGTCCTTTATAAATGACTTTGGTTTAATTCCTGTTGGTGGTCACCTGCGATACTCAACTCTTTGATGCACGCCAACCAACTATTTTGCCCATTTCGTCATCATCACGCCATTTCATCGGACTTATCACCATGCTGGTCCGCAGTCGGGACTTTGAGCGAAAATGCCTCATGTACTGCCGGTCCAGACCTCGTCTTGTGGAACAAAACATGGCTGCCTTACCGTACGACCGAGTACTGTAGGACCTAATCATTGCTGCTTTCTTGAGCGCATCATTCCCCGATGCATTTTGTCGGTGCCCCGATGCCACCAATTTTGTGGGAGCAAGGAACGAATTAGAGGAACTTCGATTGCTATTTATGAGCGAGAAGCATAGTGCTGAAGCTCAGAATTAATGCAGCACATTGCATTCACAACGCCTCGCTCGCCGCATTTCGTCGGCTTGTTGAAGGCAGCAGTGAAGACGGCCAAACAGCATTTCTATCGCGACTTGGGATCGTTTCGCTTGAATCAAGGATGAAATCTTGCCATCGTTGAAGTTGCCCTTATCATCATGGAGCTGATGGCGCTGTGCGAGCTGCCATCCTGCAGACCCCATCTGGACAAGCTGTGGGTCCTTCCAGTTGAGGATCCTGTTAAATCTTGGATCCTGGACTTTCAATGGGGGGGAGTATGATCGGAGCAGCAGCCGTTAAAAGCTCTTAAGACACGGTAAGAACTTTTCTCTTAAGTTTTTGGTACGTACGCTCTTACTATTTATAATCCACTGCGTCGACCCTTTCGTTAGTCAGTCGGTCAGTCCTCTTCGTCATCGAACACCTTAATCTAAGTTCACGCCCACCGCTTCTACCAAAAAGACACAAACATCGAACAAGAATGAGGCTGATACATCAAAATTTTGAAATTGTGTAAATCTATCATTTTTGGTCGGTGTCTATAATTCTTGCCTTGCCTAATTGTTACAAATTACTGGTGACCCGGCAAACATTGTTTTGCTAGTCGAAGAAATACATTTGATATAAATGCTCGATGAAATTGTTGGCGTTGTTGGTCAATTCCTCTATGTCTGTCGACTATATATTTTTGTGTGTTACTCTCCGTTCTAGTTGCCTTTGTGGATTTCGTTCGTCTCGACTGTGATTCGCGTAACTGCGCCATGCTCACACGCTCATCTGCATTGTTTTCTTGGATTTGTTCACCTTAAATTTGTACTCTTATATCTCGCATGGTTCCAGATTTGATCTTTGACGACTCAAATTGGCACCTCTGCGTCTTATTGGCATTGCTCAAATATATTAAATTCTTGGGTTACAATGTTTGTTATTGAACTTGAAATTTTATCACGAAAATCGGTCGTCATTTCGGAGGAGTTCATTGTGCCACGAAAATAGCAGCCCGATATGTCCAATCAAAGTAAGCGGAAAACCGCCTTCTTCAGTTATATGCATTGAACCATTGTGCACAGACTTAAAGTCGAGACAGTTGTGCATATAAACATCCCAATATTCATGTCTCTTTATGCTGGTCAGGAAGGTGAATCCTTGATGTAGTCACAGATGATTTAAAAATTCACCACTGCACTTTGTCCATTTTACAAGGGCGTGTATAAAATGATACATAATATAATTATAAACGCCAAGCGTTTTTATTTAATTTTTTTCAGCTACTTTTAATACGAGATTTGTTGGATCATAGCGAGTCATTATGCATCATCTCTTGGAATACCCAACTCTGAATTGGTCCATTTTGATGGGGTAGGGTAGTCGAATTCTCCCTATTAATTAAAAAAACTTTAAATATTGCATATATATTTATAGATAAGGTCATACCGTTATGTGATCGGGTTCATGCCATAAGTGCCATATTACCCACCACCACATTGCTCCACCAACGACTACAGCTCCGATTTTAGTTGCCTTTGAGTGCTCCGGAGGAGCACTTCGGTACGACACACTGAATAATATTATATAATAACATCAACTGAACTCGGATAAAATTATTAATGAATACTTACACATGACTACCTCTTTTTAATATTTGATTGCCCAGAGCATTGCGCGCATAATAACCAACAGCGAGACGGCAGGACATAAAATTTCGAACAATATTCATATTGTACGAATTATGATTTTAGCACTAACAACCAGAACGATTGACAAATATATAATTTTGATATCGTTATCGAAATAGTGAGCTGCGGAACTATTAGACGGGGAACAATAGAAAGGAACAAAAATATAACTTCTGCAAAATCTCAAACCGCTCAAAATGAAAACGGACTGTTTTATTTTAAAAAGTAAGACGCAAAAATAAGTGACAATAGAATGTCGGTTGGTTATGTTTTTATAATTTGACCGGCTGATAGGCAGAGTTTCAGGTTTTTGCATTACATATCATTGTAGCAGCGCTGCCTGTTGGACAATATGAGCGATTTTGCCACATCGTTGGAACAATCGCCCCATCATTCACGGTCGCGACCCAACTGGCGGTTCCACTCCGAATGAAAGCATTTATCGGCTTGAAACGATATTCAAATTATAGCAAAGCTATCCGCTATTCGTAAAATGTTTGAGAAAATTGTAACTTCGCACTTGCAAAAGTTCTGCAAGTCTCTTATATCTCCAACTCAGAATGGTGGTCTAAGGCGGCGATCAACCACCACGAACTTTTTGGAGGCTTTCATTATTAAAGGCTTTCAAGGTAACTTACAGACGGATGTTATTTATACCGACTTTAGTAAAGCATTCGACTCTGTGAACTATTCTTTTTTAGTATAAAAACTTGACCTTTAAGGATTTCTGCCCATCGGGAGTACCACACGGCAGCCATCTAGGCAGCCATCGAAATGCAAAGTAATGACATTTTATCGTTCTAGCCCCTTGTTTGCTCCCTATACCCTATACTTCTCTTGAGAGAAGTACCCTGCTGGATGAGCTTGGTGCTATATAAGACGCCAAGCTAAGGTTTTCTTAACACAGTTTTACCATGGCCAATCTAAATAAGACCAAAGGAATTAGACGACCCCTACACAGACTCTCTATACCTCGCTGTTTCTTCCGATCTTAGAATACAACTCCCGTGTACGGTGCACTCAGTACAAAGTACAACTGGACCTTTTAGAATCCGTTCCTTTTTGCTCTGCTGGGCCTTAACTGGGATGTAGGTGTGAGAATGACATCTTACTCTAGTAGACTGCTATTATTATACCTCCCATCCTCAGTTAACCTTAGAAAAATGCTTGGTGTAATTCTTATGCTGAACTTGATCAACGGAGACGTAGATAGCCCTGATCTTTTCAACCGCATAAGCTTCACGATTCTTGTGGATTGAATTATTCCTTGCATGAACCGTCAATGGTCTTATATTTGGAAATTCCCTCTACTATATTATATCTACCACTTATACCAAAGACTATACAATACCAAGATGTTGCATGAGCGACCAAAAAGCTGTTCTATGGCGGGTCCTAACATTAGGACCCAAAAGGCACGAGGGAGCGCGCGGGGTTTCAATTCTCTTTTCGCCTGTACTTCGTCTCTACCGCGACCCCGCTGCCAATCGGTTTCGTCTGTTCGGCAATGCCTTCACCAGCCACGAATTAATTCTGGACTCTCGAGCCTCAGCACCGTCGAAGCGGTGGTCGCGATCACGCTGCCTTACGGTTTCGGCACGCAGACACTGACATGCTTTCACACCGACTCGACGCTGACCGAGGCATTGACGAAGCCGAGTAGCATTTCGGAGGCGAAGGTAGCGTAAAAGAGAATTGAAGTACTAGACCCGCGCGCCCGGGGCTTCAAAACGAAAATTGAAAAAGCATTTGTTCCTCATGCAACATCTTGGTATTGTATAGTCTTTGCTAATACCCTTCCCCTTCTTATATTACCTATACTGGTATACCTTTCTCGTAATTAGTAATTGTATTTGTATTTTGAATGCATTCTTAGTTCTTTTAGTAAGTTTAGTTATAATGTTCTTAGAATATAAGTCTAAGGTATTCTTTAGCTTCCGTTCCGAACAAACTGTGTGCTCCGGCTGCCTATTTTTGTTAACAGGCATGACAACTTATAGTCGTTACAATATATTTTGCCATCATGTTTGCGATCGGTTCGGCTAACACGTCGCGCGTAATGCGGCAGCGCCCCTTGTTTACTTGGATGATTTTGGAGCCGGCTTCTGTCACCAGACTCCTAAGTTCTTCCGGTGGCGCGGGCCTATTGTGTGCCATGTAGCAGGAAGATGCCATAAGGCACTTTTCCTCACTCTCCAGCATCACTACCATCAGGTCGTCCGTGCTGTAATTAAACATAAGATGAGCATGGATTCCCTTCCGTACGAGTACGGCGGTTCTGTTCCTGTTTACCGATGTTGAGTAAAGAAGGTTGTAATTTGAGGACTTTAGTCCGCCCACTGAATTGCCTGACGCAATCCACGGCTCCTGGACTAAAGCAATGTCAGCGGTCCCTTGCTCTATGGCAATGAGGAGCTCCGCCGACGCTATCTTGCTTTTATGGAGGTTGAGCTGCAGCACCCTTAGTGTTATGGGTGGCTAACTCAACCTCACTCGACGGGTTGACTATAATTGTCAGGTCACCGTCCTCCGAGTCGTTCAGCGCAAGATCCTGGGCGGCCTCCACTATGGTTTCAAGACCTAGGTCTTTCTCGACATCGCCTAACTGAAGGGTGTGCGCATCATTATCCTCGGGGTGGCTCTTTTGCAGTAGTAGGTAGACGCTACCTACGCCCCACTCCATCTTCCCGAACTTGAGATACAAAATATCCTCTGCCTCCTTGCTGATGTGGAGGATAACATGCTGGCCCCCCTGGTTGGGTAGTGGGCTACTCGCATACAGCACCTTCCAGTCAGCCGTTGGCACGTTCGGATTTTGCCTTTGCAGCAGCTTCAGTGCTCGCTCCCCCTGGATAGCAATGGGGAAGAGCACCTTCGCCTTTGGTATTGACGGGATCAGCTCCCTGTCTACCACCTCCAGCTTGGCCCCCTCCCGCAGAGCTTCCAGTAGCGGCACCTTCTGCACCAGCCACTGCCGCGTGGGGTCGTCGTTACATTTGAGGATCTTGACCCCGTTCAGCCATCCCGCTCCATCGAACGTGGGCATGGGAGCGCTGGGGTCCTCCCCCATTCGCGTGAACTGTGATTCAACAAGCTGCGCGTGGACTAACATCCACTGCGCCGCCGTCATCTTCCCGTTCTCGTCACTGCGGTCGATCAAGGCCACAATGAGATGTCTCTTGGACACTTCGCTCATGGCCTTCTGTCTCGGCTTCCTTGCCTTCGGCTGGGGGGTGGCCGCCTTGGGCCCGCGTTGGCGCATGCTCGCCGGAGTATCTTTGGCAGCACTCTCGATCGAGCGTTGCCTCTTGGTGGCCAACATCTCCTCCACCTTGTTGGCGAATCCACCGTTTGCTGCCTTCATCTGGGGCAGCTGCGCGTAGTGTTCGCGACCCTCCTGTACCCGTTGCTCAGCCCAGGCTAGCTTAGACTTCTCCTCTTGGGATATATCCGCCTTGCACTGGAGCCGGCTCATTAACTTGAGGGCCGCCTTATACTGAGCTTTTGACTTCATCCCCTCCCTGAAACGCTTCGGCCCTTCCCTACGCAGGGAGCTGGTACCTGGTTCCGGCGAGCGGAGAAGGCTTTCTTTTTCTGTTTTGCTGATGGATAGCACGCTCTCCGGGTCCGAATCTGTGTCGACAGCAGCACCGCGCGGCTCACCCTGCATCGCGTCGTTTTTGTGGCAGTAGTATTACAACTGACATGGCCGGCTCCGCCATGCCCGAGGTGTGACCGTTGGCGACACACAGAGAGGATTGCTCCTCCCCGTGCCCGCCGGTGGTAGCAGTCACGCTTTCCACCGACGTTTGGGTTGACATCCCAACCCGTGTTCGCTCCTTTTCAGCCTCCATGTTTGGTCCGAAGGTCCATAGGTTAATATTTTTCGAGGGGACCACCCCCTAGCGTTTTATGTCTGGCCGCCAGGCACCTCTAGCCACGGCCCTGGTTCAGTTCCCCCGACTCTAGATCGGGAAGGCGATGGACCATTGCCTTAGCTGGACATTGCATTATCCCGGGCAGGGCAAGCGACAGTGCATTACCCTCGCCCGGGATAATGCAGTGTCCATTGCCCAGCCGGCACCCTCGTGGAGAGTTCAGCTAGAGGATTTTTGCCAGCCTTGGATGTCTATAGATCTTTATATATAAACTTATAATATAACAAGTTTGCTCATAAGTTTGCCCTTTTTTTTAACAATCATTCCTTTGGCAGCTAGAGTATATTGTCGTGCGATCCGGCCGATTTCGAAAAATGACTTGAGATAGTTGATAAATAAGGAATACATACGGATATCAATTTTATTTCGAATTGGACATTTGGTTTTGATTTCCTGCACTTTTTCTATATTCTACAGTTGTAGTCCAGTATTTTATTGAAATTATTAATTTTAAATGTTTCTTCTTGGTTTCAAAATCAATACCACAAGCTAATTTAAAAAAAAAATGTTTAACTGTTCTTTGCTATGCAGGCTTTGTACTTATACAATTCGATCACATCCGTAAAATTGCATCTTTCCATTTGTCCCCTTTAAAGCTGGACTTGCCTCGTCCAAATTGACATCATATCATTTAATATACAGTGTATAAAGTCGCAAAGAAACAGCAACTCAAACTCAATACGCTCCTGTATTTTTTCAAATGAGTTGCCAATACAGTCGTGTTGCAACTTATTTAATTTACATTTCGAAGATGTACGAATTTCTCGGTTTTGATTTGATGTTTGGTGGTCAATGTCTATGGACGGCTATGTCTTGCTACTCTACTGCCTAATAGTCTGATTAAAATATACAGTGTCATTAGTCGTTTTACTTCAAAGGGTATATTAAATTCGTATTGTCAAAGTTAAATTCCTTACTGGATTTTGTTACAGTTTATATGTATGTGTACCTTATATTTGTAGAGCACACGGTGTACATATGTATGTATAACAGTCAGAAAGAAGTGTTTTCCAGACCTTAAAATGCATATATACATGTACATATATGCATATATTCTCTATCGGATTCAATAGCCAGCCGGGTACAATAGCCTAAAAAACTACATACAGACTTTATAATATCCTAAATTTGGAATTTTTCATCCCTTTCCGAATTTAATATTCAATCGGGCACAATTACTACATATCCAAATTGATTTTTTGTTCTCAGCACACAATAATACTAAAGATTTTATTAAGTCTCATACCCTTGAATAATCATTTAAAATTTAGTGTTTCAAGAATTTCATGTTGAGTAAGCTATGGTCAGAATAATCCACTACTTCGTTCTACTTGTTTTGTCTTTTCTGAATTAGAACCGCATGCGGTGTACATACATACATATGTACATATGTATGTATGCATGTTTTGGGCATGCACATGTAAATTTTGTTGTAGATCACGTACCACTCCAGTTGAATTTTAATGAGGAACGGTAACCCAGAAGCACCGGAATAAAAATCGTATTGTGAAGGCTTGTATTTGTTTATTTATGTATGTACATACTTCTACGAACCTTTACAATTAGAGTTGCAAATAAAGACTAAAATTTATTCGAAATACAGATACCATCAAAGAAATTTCAGTGCTATAAAAATAGGAGTCTGCAATAGTTATCTTAAGCTTGCGCTTCAATACGCAAGATTTAATCGCTATATCAACATTGAGAGATAAACTGTGCTTGTGTTTCATATTTGTGGCATTGTTTTGCATGTTTATTTATCGTTTTTTGCATAATGTGAATGTGAATTTTATATTTCTAGATAGTAATGGAGCAGATATCAGTCTGTTCTATGTTTTTGAGAACACAAGTAATCTATCTTGTAAAATGCTTGGACCCAAAAAGTATACTATATGTTTGCATAATTGTTTTAGTAACTCTATGGTTGTACTGGTTGTTTTTTGTACCTTTTGTGTGGAAAAAGGTATGTATTCGTATTTTACAACTAACTCTACAATTCACAACATCACGACGGGTTTTTAATAGCTTTGAGCTCGGTCATAATATTTTCAGTTGAATAAACATAAAGCTTAGATCATGTTTAACAGTCGCGAGGGAGATGGTTTGCAAAGGTCTGTGGCAAAGTAAGGACAGATAGCTTTATAAGTGACAAGTGGGGAACAAGCGTCTTGAGCAGGCAGTGCGATTGAAGCAAGGTCCCAAAGTAGTTGTGCCCCTGAAGAGTATGTGCAAATTCACTAGCCTGAGCAATTGTAAATAGCAAAAATTTAGGGGAATTCTTTTTTTGAGGAAATTTAAGGGGACTACATTTTTCCAATAGACGTGTTTAGAAAAGACATTTTTTTATTCGGAAATATGTTTTTCCAACATTTCCCTTAATTTTAATAGGTTAAACAGTTTTTTCAGGAACCAATCTACCTTGTAAAAATAGAATTAGGTGATATGCTTACATACATATATATTTGGGGGAGTATTTTTTTTAAAACTGTAAAATATCTTTGCTTCAAGCTAGGACCACAAAGTTATGTTAAAATTAAAAAAAAAGAAAATAAAAATATTGTTTCTGTTTTAGTATTTGTACGATAAAAATGTGTTATATTGTTTCCCCTTTTAGTATTTGGACGATGTAAGTTACTCCAAAGTGACCCTAACAGAAGGTTTCTGTCGTAATGATCAAAAGCGCGATGCAATAAACCGCATACGAAAAGCGAAAAAAAACAGTTCAAATGAAATGCCGCCACCATTTCCAAACGGTTGGTATGGTATTCTAGAATCATCGAAACTCCAACCCGGTGACGCAAAGTTTATAGCATGTTTGGGAGAGAAACTTGTCGTCTATCGCACACATGAGCATAACGTTTTCATTTTGGATGCATATTGTCCGCATTTAGGAGCCAACTTAGGCATTGGTGGACGAGTTGTTGGCGATAACATTGAATGCCCATTTCACCAATGGAGTTTTCGGGGTGAAGACGGGGGATGCAATAATATTCCATATAGTACTTCGAGTAAGTATTTACTATTTAATTCGATTGTGCTTGAATGTTTATCATTGAAATTAAACATTACAGTTCCTCGAGGTACCAATGTTAAAAAATGGATTTCGCAGGAAGTTAATGATTTTATATTTATTTGGTACCATGCTGAGTCTTCGGAGCCTTGGGAGCTTCCTGTACCTATGGAAGCTCAGAAAAAAAATGTTTACCATGGGCGAAATGAATTTTACATCAATTGTCATATTCAGGAGATACCAGAAAACGGCGCTGATATGGCGCACTTTGCCGCTATTCACAATGAAAGCTTTCTTGCTGGTAGCTTGGCACCCAGAATTAGTGTTCTGAGCCGGTTTGGATGTCATAAATGGAATGCAAGGTAATTTGATCATATTTTTACAGACGTTGCCAGGACATGTAGACACTACCAGCTGTATTCACATTATCTCGGATTTCTTTTCCAGTCGTTTAGATACTAAATAAATAAATTATTTTTTAAATATAACGAGGGGGAACGTTGTGAGTTGGTGCGGACACCGCAACTCTACATTTATACCCGATACTTAGTCAGTATGGCTCTCCTCCGGCAGACGCCGCTAATATTAAACGACACGACAATGAGTGCGTGCGAGAGAGACAGAAAATCAGTCTGAGTTTGACTCATACGATCTGGTTCAGATTTGGTTTTGCACTCTAGAAGATATAATCATTCTCTACGATTCAGCGTTTTCAGTTTTCTCGTATACTTGAAATTGTGAATGCCACAGATTTTCGCCCTTTGTGGGGGCGGAAATGGGCGGGGCGAAGTTTTGAAATATTTTTGTAGCAGTGACATATCACAGAAGTCTGGATCCAAAACATCGTTGCTCTAGCTCTTATAGTCTTTGAGCATTAGGCGCTGAAGCGGACGGACAGACGGACGGACGGACAGACAGACATGGCTCAATCGACTCGGCTATTGATGCTGATCAAGAATATATATACTTTATGGGGTCGGAAACGATTCCTTCTGGACGTTACACACATCACTTTTACCACAAATCTAATATACCCCAATACTCATTTTGAATATCGGGTATAAAAAATAGTTTGTGCTTCCACTTGGCTTATTTTGCTCAGTTTCTGATTCTCAGCTGCTGATCGTCGAACGAAAGTCTCTCCATCAAACAGAAAACACGAGAGTAACAAAAATACGTGTTATGTTGAGTGAGGGGGCGAGTCTGCTTAATTTTTCATTTCGGAGTGCAGACAGTATAGCAAAAATTGGTTAAGCATATTGTTCGAGATCTCCATCACGTCAGGTTTTTTCTAGCCTCAAAAAACCCAAACTCGTAACATAGTGGAAAAATTCATCGGATTTGCTTGATACTCGTCACTCGGGGGCTTTTGGGTCAGTGATGTCAGTTCTCTTGTTTCGAGATGTATCGAGTTCTTCGACAGCGTAGTGGTGTCTTTTTTTTGGCCTCGTGAGTGATGCTATAGCCAAAAGTAATGGGTTGCATTACAGTTGCGAGGCATGCCGTGCGGTGGAGAAAGATATGGTGACTTTTATCAGGCAGACGCGGAGTGGCTTTAAGGAGCTGAACGTAGGTTTTAAAAACCAATACGATCGTGTTCAGGGCCCCAAAATACATAGGGATATGAAACTTTGGTCAGCCGAGCACGACACTTTTTTTTGTGGGGATGTGAAATGGTCCACTTTAAGGGGTCGAAGATGCTCCCTTCTGTCTGTTACGCCGATAGCGTTATTTTGGTATGTTTTTGAAAACTTTTTAGGGGATCGTTTAAAACTTTTTAATTTATGAATTTATTTATTATAGTTCTTAATTGTATCTGTGTATACAAATATAATAATAATATCATAATATATATATTAATAATGTCATAATATACATAATTATCATAATTTTCTGCTACTTTTTCAGTTGGTTTCCAACAACAGGAAAAGATAAGCATATTGCTGAAATAGCTCTCACTCACTCCCTAAAAATAATTGGAAAGGTTAATTGCTTTCAGATGAAAGTCTCCGGGAAACAGGTTACAATCTTAATTAAAGCATCGAGGAACTAAAGACATTTATACCATTTTAGATCGGTCCGTCCTACGTTTACCTAACAATGAATTCATCCATCTTTGGACAAATCCAAATCTTGCAAACGATAACACCAATTGAGCCTTTACTGCAAAAAGTGGTACATCGATTTTATGGACCACGTTGGCTAGGTCCCCTATTAAAAGTATTTATTTACGGAGAAAGTATAATGGTATGTATTTGAGTCTTAAACAATTTTTATATTATTTATTTATATAAACGCTTTATTTATATTTTAGTTTGAACGCGATATTAATATGTGGAATCATAAAGTTTTTCGCCGAAATCCGATACTAGCTAAGGAAGACACTTCTATTAAGCAATTTCGAGTTTGGTATTCACAATTCTATACATCCAATAGCAAACAATTCTCAGACGTGACCAACGTAGATTGGTAAACGTGAAAAGCGAATATAAAATTTCAAGCAGTAAATGTAAACTCCAAAAAAATTGAGAATTCTAAGGAGACAATGAATGACAATTTTTCTACAGTGTTGTTCGGTCTTTGAATAAAATTCATAGTAAACCTTCTCGTACATACATATATGTATGTATGTATATATGATGAGAATTAATCAAGGCGTTTGGGTCTGAAGCGGTAAATAAGCTAAGTATAGAAATAGTCATTTGTTTAAAATTATCCAACAGCCAAAAAAAAACACCTGTCATCAAACACACGTTTTTTGTAAATGGTTAAATTTATCCACATAACTTAACTATGATTCACCTAGTTCTAATGAACTTTACAATCAGCCCGCAAAACTTTGTAGCTTGACCTTACCGTCTCGGAAATGTAAAGCTCTCAATATAGTGCTGCAGCAGGTATAACAAGAGTAAAGAATACAAATGATAGACAAACTTTTAGAGTATCAAAATATTTTTTTTTGTAAAATCAATTAAATTGACAACGATGTTCAATTGTGACAATTTATTGTAGAACTCCCAGGGTCAGGATTGAGGATTGAGACATTACTTCGACGCACTCCGTGCTTGCGGGCAAAGGTATTTGGTTGGTGGTGACTGGAATGCCCGACACTGGCTGTGGGGAGACACTTACAATTCCCCTAGAGGGCGAGAGCTAGCGGAAGCCATCTCTGCCACTGGCGCGAAGATCCTTGCAACTGGATCACCAACCAGGTATCCATATGTACTCAATCACACGCCGTCCTGCATAGACCTCGCAGTGCATCATGGTATTCCGGATTCAAGAGCAACAATAAGTAAGCTGGGATCTGGACTCCGACCATCTGGCCCCAGTCATCAGCATTGATACAGATGGCATTATAGAAAATCCAAGCCCTCGTCTAGTCACCAAGCACACTGATCTGCACGGCACAGTGGAGCAAGTCCATAGATTGGCTAGGCACATCCTACAGGCCTTCGATAATCTAGAATAATGCAATGCAGTCTTCATTGATATGCAGCAAGCATTCGATAGAGTTTGGCATATCGGCCTACTGAGCAAAATTAAAAAACTCTTCCCAGCACCATACTACGGAGTCCTACGATCATACTTGGAAGGATGTCAGTTTATGGCCAGGTGCAAGAACACCTATTCAACCCCTTGCCAAATGAGAGCTGGAGTTCCACAGGGCAGCGTCCTTGGCCCGCTGTTTTACTCTATTTATACCGCAGATCTACCCGCCCCAAGCGAGCACCATATGGAGGTTCCCCGTAAGGCTCTACTTGCTACTTACGCGGATGATATAGCACTGCTCTACAGCTCTAAATGCCGCCTTGAAGCAGCAGATGGACTCCAGAAGTACCTCCACTCTTTGGCAGCTTGGTGCAAGAGATGGAATCTAAAAGTCAACCCACTGAAGACCAGTAACCCATGCTTCACCCTGAAAGCGCTCATAGACAACAGCCCACCCATAGAGTATGAAGGCGTAACTTTGGACCAACCAGACCCACAAAGGACGAAAATCTGTGGCATATACCATTTTGAAGATACGAGAAAACTAAAAACGTACAATTATAAAGAATGACCATATCATTATTATAGCCAAAAGTAACAACTAAATTTGCCGTGGCTACGTAGCGCCCGACGACACGTTTCGACTAAGTCTCTCTCTCTCATGCACTGTTTGTCGTGTCGTTTAATGCTAGCGCCGTCTGGCGGAGGAGAGCCATACTGGCATACTGAGCCATCGGTTGCGGTCTCAGCAGCAACTCATTACTTTCCCCTCGCGTTTGATAGATTTGGGTCTTTATAAATCTTGTTTTTTACTGTTTTTTCAGAGGTTGAACTAAAAAATAAGTTAGATATTGAAAAAATACATTTATTTATTTTTCTAAGGGTACATAAAATGATTAGAATATTCGTATAGGTAAATATATATGATTCTAAGATATGCCTTCGGAAATATTAACATTTGAACTAAAGGGATTTCTCGAGGTTGTACTTTTGATTTCATAGGGCTCTTTTATTGGAGTAATATTTCTGGAAAATCCGCTATCGGTTGCTATTTCTACAATCCCCATAGAAATTACCTTTGAAATCACTGAAATGGTGTCTGTTGACTCTAAATAAACATTTTGGTCGGGAGAGTAATTAATTTCGCCACTGCAAGCAACACATATGGCTTCTTCCCCACGTCTCAACTTATTGTAGATAAGACATTGTTTATGGAAAGAATGTTGACAAAGGAAATAGACAGATTGCATATTTAGCGATTGGCGACAGATATCACATGTACTATTGCGAAATTCTATTGGATTATTTATATAAAGAGAAAGCGTAAAATCTGCTTTTTTAATTTTTTTTTTTAAATTTTCAATAGTTTGCAATTCCTTTCTTGAGTCCAAAATATTTTGGACTATCCTTTCCCTAATAAAAGGTTTAAGTTGCAATGCATGTATCGAATTATTTCGGAATCCACTATTTAAAATCATTAATAATGAGCTTGTCCTCAGTTCAAAGACGTGATTAAGATCTGGATAACTCTTAATAAGACTGTGTACGCATTTGTCCGATCCTCCATCGGTTACTATATCTGCGTTATTCAGATTTTTATGAAATTGTTTAATCCCATTCAAAAATATATAGAGTCGACATATAATTAAAACTTTTTCAAGACGTAGGCGACCATTATTCAAAAAATCTAAAACAAAACCGGTGGTTATTTTTTTATCACGCCAAAGTCCAAGATACAGAATTAGTAAATAATCATATAATTGCTCATCACATGTGGGGTAACTCCCAATTATTTCTGATAATAAGTTGGCACAAAACTCGTTATATTCCGACAAAATGGAAAAAAAACAAAGAATGTTTTTTGTCGTGTTTCCAATAATTACCGATTTGACAATCTTTAAATAAGTTTCTGGGTTTTTCATTAGTGATTCTGGTCCATATTCTAAATGCAAATGTAAAAGTTCATTGCCTTCAAAACTTTTGGATTGAGTTCCATTTGCAGAATTTAAAAGCGTATCCAGATTAACATTACCCGTGGTATTGAAAAAAACATTATTGCCAGGATTGAAATCATTGTTCGGTTTACACTTGTTCTGATCAAGTAATTTAAAAAGTTGTAGGTGCTTGTTTTTAGAATGATTACTTTTTAAAAGTTCATATACATATTCTTTTAGATATTCAGTGTACCTGGAAAACAGTAGTTTGGAAATCACATCATAGGGTTTAATAAAGCCAATTGTTTTAGTATATTCTATGACTGCTCTACTTATGTCGCCCTTAAGTACTAAATGATTTCCGTATTGAAACCGCACGCAAGCAGTATCATATGAAGAAACAAGGGATTCTCTTGATAACAATTGCAAAGCAATATTGTACATACTTTGTTCAATTAGAAGTCGAATTTTTGTATTCGTATTGTACTGCTGTAATTTGAATATGTTTGTACAAGAGCTATCCCTATCTTCAGTATTAGTGATAATGTAACATACTTCGTTTTCGCTGATAGTAAAAAGAAAATCTTCAAGTTGTTTAGAAAAAACAATAATTTTGTTTTCAGTATCCACTACAATTAGAGTCACCTTCGTCTTATCCGAAAAAAAAGTTTTTGGACTTTGGACTACAACTATAAGATAATGGCCTACCCAATCCAAACATTTTTTTTTCCCTTCAATGGCATAGCAAGGGCCCCTTCCGTCACGAGTGTAGCAGTATATAGCATCTTCTCGCCCTACTACTAACATAGAATCATCTAATTCTGCATTACTTGCTTTGCGCATCGTACAACAATGATTGTAAGCATGTTTATTATTATCCAGTATATATTTTTGATCAATGGCGCCCTTTTCTTTGATTGTAAAGCAAAACACGCCATCAAAACATGTCACAAACATATATGTAGTTTGTTTATCCGTGCTTTGACGTCTGATGTCGAAATGTATTCCATTAATTGCGTGTGCAGATATTGAGTGGCGGCGACTATTTGTCAAAATAAATCTGTTAATTTTTCCATAATGCAACAGAATGTCCCCATTCTCAAAGCCTAAGGCTAATATCAGTATTTTATCCTCAATGACTGCATTGATGCATGTGGTAGGACTTGTTGTATTAATAGTTGCGGATGCAATCAGTGGAGCTCCTTGTTTTTTAGTCAACTTTTTTAAATCGTATATATCTATGTGCACTACAAATGTTGCATCTTGTGTGACAGTTGCTAGTAAATTATTAGACGTCAGTGCACATTGCCTGATGTGGCGCTGGCAATGTTGACTTTTAAAGGATATGCACTCCCAGTTAGGAAAGTAAACATGTAGTTGTCCATTTTTGTCACAGAACACTAGAGTATTATTACTTTCACCAGCATCAGATTTGGTCAGATTGAAACAGTGACACGTAATTTCCTCAATATTCGGGAATTTTACAAAAGGCAATCCAACAATATCAAAAAAGTTGACTTTTTTCCATTCTAAAACTGTAGTATTCATCTTGTATGACTGAAAGCTTATACATACTGCATATACAGCAACAAGAGTATGACCGGATTTTTTATTCAAAAATATTTAATTACATCAAAATTATAACAATATAGAGGGTATTCCTCGATGTGTTGCACCGGATTATATTTACCCACCACTAAAGAGCAACGAAAATATTGGTGTTCCCGTTTTCGAACAATGCAAATTTGTATATCAGTTTATATATGTATATTGTATATACTGTTTTTAAATGCATATGCCATAGGTATATATGTAGGTATATATGTATATGTACATATATACGTAAACGTATATATATCATAGGTGATATATCACGCAGGCTCCGTTTTTCACGTACTTCCGGATTACGTTTTTAGCCAAAACGTTTCGTTTAAAAGTGCTCAAGTTTTCACATCAAATAAGTTTGCATCAAATAAGTCATATATTTTCTTCCTTTTGCAATTTAGGTTCGTTTTGTTGCATAGGAAGCCGTTTACTTTTCATTTCGTTCTGACAACGAATAAATCTTGCGGAATGTGTAAACGGGAGCCCCAATTTATGTGATTTCAAAATAACGGAGCCTTTTTGCTTTGTATACGTGGAAAAAGTTTCTCTCTATTCTAAACAAAATATTTTGCGTCGTCGTCGCCCGATATTTTACTCACGAGAAAGTAAAATTTCGGGCAACGACGACGACCCAAAACATATTTATGTATTAGAGAGATATCATAAATAAAACAATAATATAAATGTGTTTTTTTGTTTTTTTTTTATACCCGATATTCAAAATGAGTATAGGAGTGTATTATATTTGTGGTGAAAATGGATAGAGTCATGTCCAGAAGGAATCTTTTCCGACCCCATAAAGTATATATATTCTTGATTAGCATCAAAAGCCGAGTCGATTGAGCCCTGTCTGTCTGTCTGTCCGTCTGTCTGTCTGTCCGTCTGTCCGTCCATCCGTCCGTCCGTCCATCCGTCCGTCCGTCCGTCTGTCCGTCCCCTTCAGCGCCTAGTGCTCAAAGACTATAAGAGATAGAGCAACGATGTGTTGGATCCAGACTTCTGTGATATGTCACTGCTACAAAAATATTTCAAAACTTTGCCCCGCCCTTCCGCCCCCACAAAGGGCGAAAATCTGTAGCATTCACAATTTCAAAGATTCGAGAAAACTGAAAACGCTGAATCGTAGAGAATGATTATATCTTCTAGAGTGCAAAACCAAATCTGAACCAGATCGTATAATTATTATAGCCAGAATCAAGAAAACAGTTTAATTTTTTCTCGCTCTGTCTCTTTCTAACACACATTCTTCATGGTCGGTTTTGCCAATTGCAAAATATGAGTTCAAGGATCTCAGAACCTATAAGAGCCAGAGCAACCAAATTTGGTATCCACACTCCTGTGATATCGGACCTTGACCGTTTTGTGTCAAAATTTCGCCACACCCCCTTCCACCCCCGCAAAGGACGAAAATCTGGGGCATCCACAAATCTCAGAGACTATTAACGCTAGAGTAACCAAATTTGGTATCCGCACTTCTGTTAGATCTCACTATAAAACGTATATCTCAAAATTTCGCACGCATTCGTTGTCGTGTCGTTTAATATTCGCGGCTTCTGCCGGAGGACAGCCATACTGACTAAGTAACGGGTATAACTGTAGAGTTGCGGTACCCACCTCAATTCACAACGTTCCCCCTCGTTCAATTTAAATTCGTTCTTCTTTTTCCCTTCTCTTTTCATAAGAAATTCTACATTTAATAAATTACAACATTTCAAATTGTAAATAAAAGTTTAGTATTTTTTTGTTGGTATTATACTGTATTCTAAAAAAGTTCAGGGAGGAATTTTTCGTCCAGGCATCCTTCCAGTCGTCATTTTCTGACTGGAAGAGAGCTGTGAGGTTTCCAAGTGAATCCTACACCCAGTTTTAAAAGACAATCGATTTAACGTTGTTTTATAAGAACACAACTGTTTCAAAAGTTTTTTTCTTTATTTTAATATGTTAGAAAATGCAATGTACAAAGTAACATTCAGATGCATACATATGTATCACAGTTCAATTTGTCGAACATATAAATTTCCAGTACATTTTTGTGTTAAATATATAAAAAGGTATTTTACATCATTTGGTGACTAGTACTGTTTTTGGTGACCGTTTTTTGTGTAATTTGGAATAAATGTCCGAACATTGCAAGGCATGAGTTTGTCTTTCACTGTATAAATAACGGTTTACATGCAATGTAGAAGTACTTATTAAGTAAAAGTATGTATGTATATCGTTTTCACATACATAGTTTAATTAGTCGGATTTCATCCACCAGAGCTATTTAATTGCAATCCAAAGAGCTGTTATGTAACTAGCGATTGTACACAGATTTTATGTAAATATTCTGATAAACTTTAAGGGTTGATTTATTTGTAAGATTATGATATACTATTGTATGTATGTTATTACCAAGTACTTAAAAACAAATACGGCTTGTAGGTGTTCCGTTCACGGTTCGAAAAAATCGTACAATATCCCTAAAGGGATAGAGCTAGTTTTATTCCGGCTTCCGAAAACTTGTTCCCAAAGTCCTTTATTTGCACGCTTTCAACTTTGCAACAAATCGTAACTTACATACATACACAGTACATATGTAAGTCTCAGTGCACGTTTCGCGGTGCTCAGTATACATATGATTTATGCAACTTATACAATAAATATTGTACATAAGTCTGAAGTCCTTGGTGTTCTGCATATAACTATTAGTTTTATCTCAGTTTATGTTGTTACGGTGGGATGGGCAAAGAAGACCGCGCATATCTACAAATTTGTCTTGCAAATTTGATAGACCATTGATATTGTTACTGATCCATAACACCAACTTAGTGCGAAAGCTTTTAATTTTGTCCGAAGACGTTAAAATATTTGAAATCACAGATGCGCTAAGGGAAAAAGGCTTTGTAGCCAAGACAGTAAAAAATATTATTAACAGAAGCAAAAAGCCAAAACGACTTTTCATGGTCGAGATCGAGCCAGACATACATATGAACTTTAAAGCAAAACGAAGTACACTCAATCTACAAACTGCAGTTCCTGTAGCACCCCAGAATCACTTTAGAAGAAACGCATAAACGCCATAGTCCAGGGCAATGCACAAATTGCCAGGAATATGGGCATAACAGGACTTACGTACTCTAGGGTCAGTCTGCAGAAATGTGGAAGCTGTGGAGGATACCTCACAGGGAACTATAGAGGCTGTCCAGTTTCCAAGGAGTTCCCCGAGTAATAGCGGCCAGCTCTCACAATAGACCCAACGAATTTGTATGATCCCAAATCACACCTGACCTAATCTTCGCAAAAGCGGCTAGGTTTTTGATCCCCCAAACACCATATAGATAGCTTTTTTTAGTGTTTTAAAAAAATGACTAGAAAAGCCAACCCAGCCGAATATGGTAAACTCTCAGCAGCCCCCAGATCAGTCACAAAGCCCTATTGAAGCAATGATATTTACTCTGTAGCAAAGTATGATAGACTTTATGTTATTTAGCAAAACAAGTGTACAAAATCTCATGCATCTCTGTAGAATGCCAGTGTCGTTTCACAGCATAAACTTGGGCTAACATGATTCCTATACGGCAAACACATCCATTATATGGAACAGATCATTCGGATGAAAAAGCACACGGTGGGACAGGCATCTTAATCATAAACCGCATCAAACACTACTTACAGGCTACATCTGTAAATCGGGTAATGTAAATTTTACCAGATGCCCAGTAAATGCAACTTCCCAAGTAGCCCGCCATCTGTTAACTGTGGAGAGGTGTCTTGCAGATTGGCGCATACAAGCGTCTTGTATTTTTTGCGGATTATCATCGTCAACACAAAGTGCCAAGAGTTGCTCCACCATTTTAGAACAATGGTTAAGATGCACAACCTCTGAAAAAAACATTAGAAACGGGGGGGAACGTTGTGAGTTGCTGCTTCGACCGCAACTCAACATTTATACCCGATACATAAAGCGATAAATGGCTACATTGAACTCAAAAGAGTACGTGAGTTAGAGACAGAAAACGTGTCTGAACGTGTCTTCGGGCGCTGCGTAGCCACTGCAAATTGATTTATTCCTTTTGGCTAAACAAATAATCTGATCTGATCCAGATTCGGCAATCTGGTAGAGATGGTCATTCTTTATGATTGCGCGTTTTTAGTTCAATATTATTTGTAGTGCGATATTGTGGATGCCACAGATTTTCGTCCTTTGTGAAGGCGGAAAGGGGTGAAGCGAAATTTTGAAATACACTTGTGAAGGTTTAATATGACAGGAGTGTGGATATCAAATTTGGTTGCTCCAACTTTTAGCAATTGGCAAAGCCGATCAGGAATACAAAATGTCGTTGATCTAGCTCTTATAGTCTTTGAGCGCAAGGCGCTTATAGGAATGGAGAGACGGACAGACGGACGGACGGACACACAGACATGGCTCATTCGACTCGGCTGTTGATGCTGATCAAGAATATATTTACTTTATGGGGTCGGAAACGATTCCTTCTTGACGTTACACACATCCATATTCACCCTTACTCATTTTGAGTATCGAGTATAAAAATACCAGTCTAAAAATTTTTAGAAAAGAATCCACCATATGAAAAAAAATCATAGTTCACTAAAAAAAATTAAAGCGCTAGATCTATCAGAAAAAGTTGGGTTGATTGACCTTTAAGCTTTCCAGTCTCCAGTTTTATTATTGTTTTTCCATTCACTAAATAAATTTTCAAGCTTAGCCCCGTAATGATATTCTTGGCGAATAAGAATTCAGTATTAGTGCTAGCGGTCTCTGCCTGAGTCTATGGAAATGCATGATCAGCATTAAGTGGCCTATTGGAAGAGACCATTAGCCTCGGTATGAGAACATTTGGGTTCTGCCTGTGTTTTGGAGAAATGCTTGATCAGCAGTTTGGGCAGCTAGCTGATCCGCGCTCAAGAGGCAGATCATGTTGCTGTTCAGAAGGAATGTGTAACATAAACAATAGTGGTTTATGTCACTGCGCTTATACACGCGCTTATATATGGGTTTATATGTATATATAACAGAGTATTACATATGTACATGCATGGGTTTGCTACACTTTACTGGGATCGTCAGAAAAGGCACAAAGCTTTTAGGATTGACGTTTGTTTGTTTTATTGACGGCAACATTTCTCTCTAAATTTGAGGAGAGTGATGATCCAACAAAAAAGCTTAATCACTAGGTGGAAGTATCGCCATAATTACTAATTCTGTTAAAGCTTTCTCACACATAATTTTTTAGGTCGATTGGAATATTTTTTCAACGGTGGAATAAGTATCGAAAGCATTTTTGGATGAATATAATAGGTTTTTTTAATACACTGCACGTGTAATTGCTCATTAGTATGAAAAATTGAATGTTAACTTTTTATTGTTGGCTTAAATAATAACCAATCGAGCTGAAATGTTAGCGGAAATTGCGAAATTAGCGAAATGTTAGTGTAATAAATCTTTAAAAAAATCAATTCTGCCAAAGGAACATTGGCGATTATTGTATTTTTCCACTCATACCTTATATGATCTTATGACTTTATATTTTACTGTTTTATACAAAAAATACAATTTGTATACTTATACTTATACTTGTATTAATAAGAGCAACTCTAATGTATTTACATACATATATATTTAATATTTAACTTACGCTATTGAATTTGTTTCAAATAATTATGAGTTTACAAAAACTTTTTTACAGAGACTACTAATAAGGAGAATTGAAATAAGGTTAACAATGACATATTAAAAGTATACATTTATATTCAAATTGTATGGCCATATGAAGCTTATAATCAAGATTATAAGACTATTTATTATGAGGCCAACATCAGGCGAAACGTTAAGAGCTTGGATTTTTTCCGCTCTAATGGTACATGGAGCAGTTGCAGGTAATCCAGATGCAAAACGGCTTTATGACGATCTCTTGAGCAACTACAATAAATTGGTCCGGCCCGTTGTTAATACCACAGATGTTCTTAAAGTTTGCATAAAACTAAAACTTTCCCAACTTATCGATGTGGTAAGTACCAGGAAGATGTGTATAAATTCTCGTATTTTTTTTGTTATATTTGACTACAATTTTAAATATTTATTTCACATTAATAGGCACGAGTGTTTTCACGTTTTTTAACTATAAAATTTGTACGCCAGGAGTATTGTACTTCTGAAGATGAGGAATGATAAAACCATTCAAAAGCCAGTCAAAGCCACTTTACTGATAGACTTGGAGCTGCAAAAATGTATAATAAATTATGCAGCTGTGCGCCGATGAAACTCTTTTTAAAATCTTTAACATCTTTAAAATCTGATATTTTTCTGTTTTTATACCCGATACTCAAAATGAGTATGGGCGTATATTAGATTTGTGGTGAAAGTGGATGTGTGTAACGTCTAGAAGGTAGCGTGTCCGACCCCATAAAGTTAATATATTCTTGATCGGCATTAATAGCCGCGTCGATTGAGCCATGCCTGTCTGTCCGTCTGTCCATCCGTCCGTCCCTATGAGCGTCTAGTGCTCAGAGACTATAAGAGCTAGAGCAACAATATTTTGTTTATTTCAAAAATTCGCCAAACCGCCTTCCCCCCGCAACGAAAATGTATGGCATCCACAGATCTCAGATTAATCTCAGATCTCTCCTATTAAGGCTAGAGCAACAAAACTTGGTATCCACATTCCTATACACTCTCGCTGTTACATGTGTATTTCAAAATTTCGAAAAAATTTGGAAAGGCCTTGAGACGGAGAGTGTAATAATGTATTCTTAAAGAATCGGGAGGTGTAGTTTTGTTTAGCCGAATTCATTCGGTACCCGTTTATTTCTGACTGATCTCAGTTCTTAGGGGCTAACTTAAATAAATAACTGGACGCTGCTTCGACAGAGAAGCCACTGCTTTAATTGTGCCTGCTACACTCAAGCGCGGTCATATTACATCGCACTTGGAATGTGTTGGGTAATTGAGTTTATTGGCTCAACAACAATGTGTAGTTTGTATTGAATAAATGTATGAATTATGAAAATGTATGATTACAGTATATGTGCGCTTGATATGTGCGCATACGACAAGACCCTTACTATGGATACATTAACTTTAATTAAGCTCTAACATGCGTTGAACTCTACTGAGCTTGTTGAGATAAGTTTATTTTTCTAGGGCTGACCACCATACTACCCTTCAATAAAGCATGACTGGTCGTATGATAGCGGTGTATAGCCACCGAACTATATAGGGGGTCATCCCCCATTTAAGTCCGATTGCTCTCCTGCATGTGTAAAGGGCAACTGTGACCTTCATTACTCTATCCTGTATGCTCAGTTTCCAATAGAGCTTTATGTCGAGGTTTAGGCTAAGTTACTTGCCATTGTTGCTAAAGGCTAACGCTTCCCCACAGAGTTTTAGGGGAATCAGTATCGCTACTTTGTATTCTTAGTGAAAAGCACAAGTTCCGCTTTAGACGGGCTGCTTCCCAGCCCACATTTGTCTCACCATTTGGACATCTTCATGAGAGGGCTTGTCATGCATTCATGCACACAACGTCTGCGGAAACTTACCAGAGAATGCTAGCAGCAGTTCGCTGCCACTGCCACGGCTCATAGGTGGGGCGAGAGGACTCCGCCCTGTTCCTCTGTTCACAAATCTCCCAAGTGATGCCTCAACCGTCCTACATTGTAGCAGCTGATCGGTTAGGCTCGACGTCATGGAGTCAACCCCCAGGTTCGTCAGTACGCCCGTGATGACGGTCGGAAGGATATTATTAAAAGCGCCTTCTATGTGGAGGAAGGCTACCAGGGTGAACTCTTTACAGTTAAGGGACGCTTCGATGATCGATGTAATCGTGTGTAGGGCCGTTTCGGTAGATCTTCCCTTCCGATAGGCATGCTGGGACTCCGAGATACTGGGCGAAATATTCTCCGTGCGATGCAGCCCCCCCGGAGCCGTTCCATTGTCTTCAGAAGGAAGCACGATAGACCAATGGGTCTGAAATCGGTGGGGGCAGTGTGCGAGAGCTTGCCAGCCTTGGGAATAAAAATTAATTTGTTCTGTCAGTGATGTACCGTGCGAGAAGACTCCCTCGTAAATTCTTTTGAGCCAATTAATGACTTTATGTCCATCGTGAATTAGTTGGGCAGAGATAATGCCATCTGGTCCCGCGGACTTGTATGGTTTAAAGCTTTTGATCGCCCAGGAAATGTTCTCCTGGCTTAGCAGGTTCAGGATGGCATTTGAGACGACAGAAGGCTCAAAGTAATTGGGTCTGTTTACATTAAAGCCAGGGAAGTGGGTGTTAAGGAGAAGATTTAGCGAGTCATTGCTGGACGCTTTCTAGGATTGGTCGACGTTCTTTAGGTAGCCCAGGGTGGATGTTGTCTTCGAGAGAGCTCTGCGCAATCGCGAAGCTTATGCGTTTTTCTCGATTTGGTTACAGAACTTACGTCATGAGGTAAGCCTTTGGCTTGCTTAAGTTCTTTATTGTAGGTGGACAGACTGGCCGTGTATTCGGCCCAGTCCTGCTCAACGGTCTCAGCCTTCGCTTTATTGAATAGTTTGTAGGAGGCTTTCCGGAGTTCACCAAGTTTTGGAGTCCACCATTCAGGTTTCTTATGGCCTCTGTTATTGCTAGAGGGGTTGGATTTATGGATTTATCATGCATCAGTCGGGAAAAATTGTAACAAGGTGAGTCGTGGTCCCTGGAAATCTCGTTCAGAGACTCTGGGAGAACACGATCCAGTTTGCCCTTCTGAGGTTCCGAAATTGAAGTGATTTCGGATTTGAGACCCACGCTCTGTCCCTCGGTGTGCTGGGTACATCTTCCTATTTAACGGCATCCAGTTTGGCCCCTTGATAGACCTTCTTGAGTGCAGTCACCGCCTTCATGGAGAGGGCTGCAGAGCGAGCGTCTTGGCAGGTGATGGCTTTCACGTCACCTTGGGCGGTGGTCCGCCATTCTTCTCCAGTTCTTAAGGTCTTGCTCTTTGCCACTTCACCTCGTGAGGGATGGCAGTATTCTGTAAAGTCATAGCCAGTATAGCTTTTACCTGCTCAAAGGAGGAGGTGGCACAAATCCCACTTCTGTTTCCAGATCGTGCAATTAGGGACATGCAAGGGTCATGCAACTTTCGAACACAATTACTCTGTCAGTATTTTTCAGCCCACAATCTTAGCCAGTTACCTAAGACTAAAGACTATGTAATATCAAAATGTTGCATGAGGGACCAAAAAGCTGTTCTATGATGAGGTTCTTCGTTACGCCCCTTAGACAGAGGGCGTGCCTAGGGTTTCAATTCTCTTTTCACTTATGCTTCGCCTCTGAAAGCATGAAAATACTCCGAGACCAGGATCTACTGTGCTTCGGCAAGGACCGTGTATTTGTTGTAGAATTATGGGACTACTTATTTATGCAAAGGCATTAACGAATAGCAGAGTAGCAGTCTGAGCCGATGGATAGTCGAAATGAAAATTGAATTGCCAGTACCCCGCGCGCCGGTACTACGAGACCAAGATCTTGTTATTGTATTGATAAAACCAAATTCCCACTTACCCATCACCCTCTTCGGACCATCGCAGAGGAAAACGGTCGACGTGCGACATTTACGGAAAAACCCAGTAAATCATAAAAACGACTGCACAGCCTTTTTTTCGGCATCGGGAACTTGCTGACGGCTTTGGCTTTCTCCAATCCAGGCTTGATTTCACCTCCTCCAACTTGATGACCCAAAAATGTAATGGTCGACTGCAGAAATCGGCACTTCTTCCACTTCATCTTCAGCCCGTATTCAGCTGCTGCATCAAAAACCTTCTTCAGCTTTCCCAGGCATTCGTCAGTTTCAGCGTGTATAACGATATCGTCCATGTACAGGTCAAGAATGTTTTCATTTATAAGGTTTTGAAATACAAAGCTTATTAAACGGATAACAACTGCTGGCGAATTGCACAAACCGAACTGCGAATTGCGCACGGTTAAACTCAAAGAGGCTTTCCTTCGGAAACGCCGTATATTTTTTGCTGCCTTCCTCCACAGGAACGTGGAAGAACCCATTTTCGAAGTCCATGATGGTGAACACCTTCGCATTTTCCAGTTTTTCCAGCACCTCTAGAACGGTTGGAACGGGAAAGCAATCTTTCAAGACCATCTTGTTCAACTGACGATAGTCCACGCAAACCCGGCTGCTCCCATCCTTTTTCTTGACAATTACTGGCGAGATTTAATGATGAGTGCCGTTTTATCCCAGCGTTGGCCCATTCATCGGGAACACAGCAGTCTGCTTCTTTTCACTAAAGTCCTGAATCATTGATTGGACGGCATCTCTGAACTGCGATGGAATGTCAGTATTTGCTTCGACCACGTTGTAAATACTTATCTGTTTGGTGTCCTCAGTTTCCTCCCCCGGCAGGGGAGAAAACTTATATCCTCCTGTCGTTGATGTCATTGTGAACTTGGATATAAAGTCGTAGCCAAGCAACAATTCGCATCCGACGGCATGATCGGCCAACCACAAGGAATTTGTGTGCCAGACGCATTCCGTCGGTCTCCACTTCTGCCGTAAACTGCCCAGCGGAGCGTGTGATGTTGTTTCCAAGTCCCCTCAAAGTTGACGAGCTGGCTTGCAGATGGACACCACTCATTTTACCGAACACTGACATCTTTAATAGGGAAACATCTGCACCGGTGTCTATAAGCCCCTTGACTTGCACGTCGTTAATTTTTAGAGACTTCAGGCGGTTTTCCTCGTATGCAACGTTTACGTCAGCAGCACTCGGGCAATCCTTAGACATGTTTCCAGTCTAATTGCAGTAAAAACCCTTTAAATTCAGTCCGTCGACAATGTATCGAATCACCGACTCCGTGCCTGTTGTCCCACGTGCAGCAATGCGTTTCATCTGCAGTATACATTCGTGAAAACTTTCGAGACAATTGATTGTGAATTTGCGCACTGCATAATCGCTCACACTCGAACTCCTGTTAAAGTTGGTGACGCAACTGGCCGTACTCATACATAGAGCGGCTGTACCTGCCAATTTTACTCGGTCTTGCACGTAATTTGTTTTGTCATTTAGTCCGTATGCTTCAGCGTTTAGCTCGAAGATATTAAACCATTCCTGTACCGACATATTTTCTCCGTTGAACTCTGGAATAATTTTGGGAACATTTTCCACTACCAGCTTCGCATCATTTTTCTTGTCTATTTCATCAGCACTTATTTTCATCGAAAGCAGTTGAACCAGCTGTTGGAGCGTCTGTGTGTTTTCTTCTAGGACTGCTGCTTCCTCGTTCGCGTTTTTCTGGCGATTGATCCTGTTTGCTCCTGATCCACTTGTGCAACCATTTTTATTGTTTGTTGTTTGTAATTGTCCTTTTTTTTAATAAATGCTTAGATCAGCTTAGTTCAACTTTTATGATGAAGCACCATAAATCAGGGTGCTTCAAAAGATGTTGAATATCAAGCCAAATCAATACTTTAAACGGCGGTATTTTACTGTTTTACTGCGAGCCAAATGTCCAACGACGCCTGTTTTTTTTTTTTTTGAAAACTGGCCATCGTCAGTTTACACCGAAATTCTATAATCCGAAATTTTTCGATGCCGAAAGATGCAGTCTAATACTTGTTGTACAAATACTTTCTACTGAGTTCCAAACAATAAAACCACCAAAGTGATTTTTTTCATTTATAATTGAACATAAGCTCCATATATATTTATCTTAAATAACAAATTTTTTACTATTTCCTTATAGAACTTAAAAAATCAAATAATGACTACCAATCTTTGGGTGGAGCAGGTAAGCTTTCTTTTATTCTTGCTCGGATTAATAATTGAAGGTTTCATTTCCATACTCAAAATCTTGAATGTGAATTTTATATCTCGAAGATGTTCACCTAAAATTGCCATGTTAGCTATTAAACTGGATTTGAGGTACCGAAATCCATAGTTTTTATACCCGATACTCAAAATGAGTATGGGGGTACATTAGATTTGTTGTGAAAATGGCAGCACATAACAAAACATGGATCTGGTGATTGCCGAATCTGGATCAGATCCAATTATTTGTATAGCCAAAAGGAACAAATCAATTTGCAGTGGCTACGCAGCGACCGATGACGACGGATTTTCTGTCTCTCAATGTACGCGTCGTCTGCCGGTGGAGAGCCATACCGACTAAGTATCGGGTATAATAGTAGAGTTGCGGTGGCAGCAGCAACTCACAACGTTCCCCCTCGTTTTTTTTAGTGATTAGTAATAATTAATTACGAATTAATTAGTTTAAGCTATGATCTTAAGCTTTGCCATGAAATAGTAACCCAAAGTTTGATACGTTTCCCTACTTCTACTACCTGTAGGATACCGATATAATCCATGCCCGCAACGGCCAGAGATAATTTGTCTCGAACCGTTGTGGCACCACTGGTGATCTTCCCTCTCCTGCATTGTAGCACATGGTGTCAAGAGTTATCACATCCATACGCTCTTACAAAGTTTGCGATCTCCCACCGTCTCTTCCTTTTCTTCGTCTCTGCAGGTGTCTATGGTCGGCTATGTTTGCCGAGTTATGCGATACTAATTGCCACCTATGTATGGTATATTATTGTATTGTATTGTTATTTTAACATAAGCTTACAAGTGGCCATTGCGATACGAACATCCTATTTATCATAGGAAAGTTGGATTGTAGTAGCAGATCAGGCCACTCGTCTGCTATACAGTTGCCCTCAATGTCCTGGGGACCCGGGACCTATATAAAGCTGACAGCAAAATCAGCCCTAGGCAGAATTAAACAACTATTAGTAAAACAGTCTAAGATTACAATCAATTTACTCAACATGATATTGATGTTAGCAAATAAATAATGAAAGTATATCTTCGTATAGTCACATTGAATGCCAATGGGCCTTCCAACCATCGCTTTCTTTATTAAAACCAACAACATTGACAAATTACTAATTTCAGAAACACACTTCACAAAGAAAAATTATATAGTCATTAATGGGTACGATATCATAAATGCTAATCACCTATTTGGAAGAGCACATAGTGGAGGGGGAATGTTGTGAGTCGCTGCTACGGTCACAGTATAAATACTAGAAACCAATTATTTTTAAAAGCACACATTTGTAACGCTTTTTCGTTTATTTTTACCACTAATCATACAGTATATAGATTTGCCAGTTCATACTAGAATGTGTCACACGCTGGATTACCAGTTTCAAAACTTCGGATACTGACGCGACATCACGAGAGAGCGCAGAGGCATGTGTTAGTACACACACAATATGTTTCGAGAAAAATATTTGTTGGTAGCCTTTTTCTGTTTTCTGGTGTACCTCCAGCATACTTTGGGTGTGTGTGTTATAGCATTGCTGGCCGCTAGAACTGAAATTTAAGTTTTCTTCTTGTTTTGGGTCTTTTGATGAACTAACCTACCGCCACAGAGCAAATGAAGAATGGGCAGGGAGTGGGGGTATGGTATACTAGGGCGCGAGAAATAAAATAAAAGCTCTTATTTGTTTGATTTGTATTTAATATATTTATGTCACTAGATTTAAATGTCACCCCGACTTGACTATGTCTGATTGTCTCAAACGGAACTGATTTCTCTATTGTTGGCTAGTTTCCATGAGCCCTTCTCTTGGAGCTCTCGACTTTGGCTTCGGGCGTTGCGTTCCTCGGCTGCATCTTCGTGTCGGTGGCGTACGTGCCTGGATAGCCGCTGCTGGCGATCGGTGTTGCATTACTTGAGGGAGCTAGGAATGTGATACTCTTTGGTTTTACGACTAGCTCTGATTGGTCGTCATGAGTGGCATGATTCTAAAGAATCGATTTCTCGAGAGTGGCGTGATTCTGGCGTTGATGAATCAATGGGGTACATTGTTTATATTAGTGGACTCTAGCTTGGAGTGTGGGAAGAATCAGTTATTGATTCTTGAGTGGTGTCCTGTTACTTTTGTGGATGGGGTGGGTGAATTGGATATAAACATAATGTGTATGTGAAGTGGAGAATTCTGGATATGTCACTCCCACAAAGTTTGTTATTAGCCTGTCCCTAGGCGATTACCCTCGCGTATAGTGACGGGGTGTCAAGTATGAGAGTTGAGGTTGGTTCTTCTTCCTCTTTTATGGTTTATGCATTTTACAGTGAACGTCTTCGGATGTTTCTTAAATTTAATGGCTACATGTGCAAATATAATTATTATTGTTATAATGAATGCAATTATAATTTTTGTTTGTAATACATTATACAATTTTGTATGTTCTATTAATTTTTCTTTTGCCTGTACATAAGACAATGGTTTTAATCTAGTTATGTTATTACTAATTTATTTGGTACTTGGAAGGTGTTACCAAAATGTTTGGTTCTATTTACTTTACTTGAATGTTCTTATATGTTTTTGTATAAGGGCATTTTGCAGGTTTTTGTTGTATGATGCCATTTATGCAATCGTCTTTTATTATTTGTCTAGTGGGTTTATTGAATACATTATTTTTAATAATGGAATTAATATTGGAATATTTTAAACTATTAATATTTCATTAGAATCTACTTTTAGCCATGTTGAAGTTTTGATGTGTAATATTTTCTCAGAATGTATATGTTTCAGATTATCTTGTTTTAATAAATTTGGGTTGAATATACCAAGTCTAGATAGCTGCCATAGATACCCAACTCTATATCCTCAAAGTATTCTGTGAAGTGTTGGAGGCTAAATATCAAAATTTTTAATTGTTGGTTTTTATTTTTTTCTTCGTTTAAATTATTTATCGCCTCAAGTCCTTTGTTTATCGTTTCTATTACTAGGTTTAACTCATTGGTTTGGATGCTGTTTTTGGCTAGACTGTCTATTTTGTTTTCTAGTTCTTTCCTATCTTCTTGGTCCAATGTTCCAAATAAGTATTTATAAGCTGTACCGACTATGTTTATTACTCCTCTTTTACTTCGTTTGGCTATTTTCAGCCCGTTAATTTCCCTTGTGAGCTTGTCTACTAAATATTGTATTTGAATTACTTCTTTGAAATTGTTAGCCTTTCCTCCCTCTATCCCCGCAGCAGTTCGTTCACTGCCACGTTCCATAGGAGGGGCGAGAGGACGCCACCCTGCGGGGTGCCTCTACTGACGTCCCCAGTGATGCCTCAACCGTCCTGCATTGTAGCATCTGATCGATCAGACTCACCGTCCGGGAGTCAACCCCCAGGTCCGTCAGTGCACCCATGATGGCTTTCGGGAGGATGTTATTAAAGGCGCCTTCTATGTCGAGGAAGGCTACCAGGGTGTATTCCTTACAGTTGAGGGACGCTTCTATGATCGATGTGATCGTGTGTAGGGCCGTTTCGGTGGATCTTCCTTTCCGATAGGCATGCTGGGAGCCTGAGATTAGACCCAAAAGCCGTTCCATCGTCTTCAGAAGGAAGCACGATAGACTTATGGATCTGAAATCTTTGGGGGCAGTGTGCGAGGGCTTGCCTGCCTTGGGGATGAAGACGACTTTGGTATGAAGCCAGGTTTCCGGGATATATCCATGGGAGAAGATTCCCTCGTATATCCTTTTGAGCCAATTAGTGGCTTTTTGTCCAGCGTGAATCAGTTGGGCAGGGATGATGCCATCTGGTCCCGCAGACTTGTATGGTTTGATGTTTCTGATTGCCCAGGAAATGTTCTCCTGGCTTAGCAGGTTCATGATATCAGTTGAGGCAACGGAAGGAGCCGCCATGTAGTGTGGTCTGTTTTCAACGCAGCCGGGAAAGTGGGTGTTAAGGAGAAGATTTAGCGACTCATTGCTGGACGTTGTCCATGATTGGTCGGCATTCTTCCGGTAGCCCAGAGTGGGTGTAGTCTTCGAGAGAACTTTGCGCAAGCGCGAGGATTCTGAGGTATTCTCAATATCGCTACAGAACTTACGCCATGAGGCGCGTTTGGCTTTCCTCTGTTCTTGCCAGAGGGGCAGGATTAATCGAGCGCCTCATTGCAGGCGTCGGTAAATAGTTTAACAAGATGAGTCGTGGCTTCCCTGGAAATCTCCTCCTCAGGTGGAGTCTCAGGGAGAACACAACAGAGGTGGTCTGAGTACCGAATCCAGTTTGTCCGCCTAAGGTTCCGGAATTGAGCTGGTCTCGGTAGTGAAAAAGAGAATACGGTTTCCACGTACCTATGGTCCGAGAAGGAGTGCTCTGCCAGGACCCTCCAGGATACGATGTTCCCATGTAACTCATGAGAGGCAAGTGTGAGGTCCAGATCCAGCACATGCTGCCTTACAATGGTGGAGGTTAATCTGCAAAAGTATCAGTGACATTCCTGAGGTTCACGTCCACCATTGTTTTGTCGTGGTCGCTCTCCGAAGAGTCCAGCTCCTCCCCGACCCCGATGTGCATGAGATCCCTAGTAAGATCGCTCACGTCTGACACATAACCATCTAGGATGTCATCGGACACCACTGATGTCACGTCCGATACCGACCCAGGCTTGTTCTCTATGCTAGGGATCTCCGGGGGCTCCAGGTCTGGCTCGACCGTCGGTTGCATGCCCTACCATATAATTAACTTGGTACTCCTTTTTCTGATTTCAGGGACTTGTTGAACAACTTGAAATTTTTATTTTGTATGTGCACTATGTTATCTCTGGCTATCTTGCGACTTTATTCTCCTGCTGCAGCTCTAAAATATACTCTTCCTCTACAAGCTTTTCTAAGTCACTGTCCTCTTTGTCCTCATTTTTATGCCTGTCAAAATCTTAAATGGGGATATCTTGGTACTTCTCGGACAAGTGGAGTTTATAAACCATTGTACCCTACCAACATTTTTGTACCAGGCTTTCGGATCTTCTGCGCAAAGCTTGGTTAACATAAAAGTAATGACCTTATTAATTCGCTCTACCTGTCCATTACCACGCGGCACTCCTGTCGCTATCAGCAAATGTTCGATATCCCGTTCTTAAAAATATTTCTCGAAAATATTAGCAGTAAATGCAGTGCCTCTATCTGTGATCACATGCTTCGGGTTTCCAAGCACTTCGCCCTGTTTCTGCAACCTATCAACCACGTCATCACCGCCTGCACTCTTTTTTGGATAAAGCCAGACAAATTTAGAAAAAGCGCGGACAACTTTCGTTCGCAGGGTATACAAGCCGCACGTGGCCGTGCGAAGTGTTACTGTTGTTGCTTCGTTGTTTGCTGCTTTCCTCGTTTCTGCACGTTCGCAATCTGAACGTCTCTTCAGTCCTCTTTGCTCTGTACTTTCGTCGTTGGTTTTCAATCTTTCCCGTTTGCCTTGCTCTTTTGACGAAAACGAATAATGTCGTTTTGCGTCCTCTTTCCGCTTTATTTTCGGGTCTGCGTTTATTTTGTAGCCTCGTCGTTTTGTAGCTCTGTAGCTCTTTGTCGTTAGCTACCTCTGCTCTCTGCACTTTGACGAAAACGAATAGTGTCGTTTTGGGTCCTCTTTCCTCGTCGTTTTCGGGTCTGCGTCGTTTTGTAGCCTCGTCGTTTTGTAGCTCTGTAGCTCTTTGTCGTTAGCTACCTCTGCTCTCTGCACTTTGACGAAAACGAATAGTGTCGTTTTGGGTCCTCTTTCCTCGTCGTTTTCGGGTCTGCGTCGTTTTGTAGCCTCGTCGTTTTGTAGCTCTGTAGCTCTTCGTCGTTAGCTACCTCTGCTCTCTGCACTTTGACGAAAACGAATAGTGTCGTTTTGCATCCTCTTTCCTCTTTATTTTCGTTTCTCACTGCCGCTTCTCGGCATCTGCTTTCGTCTTCGTTGCTTCGTTGGTCGTAATTTCACAATTTTGCGCAAAACTTGATGGTATTGGCAACTTGTACACGAATATACATTCACTTGTGGTTCTTTCCCGGACGAGCCCCCAGATTGTGGGGATCCTTGGTGAGCCCCTACAAGTGATTAAGAATCCGCTCCAGAAACTCCATCAAATATAAGCCACACGTCGTTGTATTGTCTTTATTTTAATAAATGGTTACAATAAGTTTCTTTTTCTTAACACGTTCTTCTCTGCACGTCTACTCGCTCCCGCAGTCGAACTCTTACTTAGCTATCGATATATCTTCCTCTCATACCCTTGACTATCCCTAGCGATAGATCGATACTCATTAAAGGGCTGCCAACCCTACACACATTATAAATACATATGTATATCTTTATTCTTCTCTAATTCTCGGGAATAAAAAAGAATAAAGAAATAGAATGTAAGTCCGTACTATAGAATTACTATAAAATAAATTGTTATAATCTGCGGTGGGCACGAAATTTCAATTTGTGATCATTCAGCATCAAAACAAACAAACAAAAAAAGCAACAAAAAGTAACCCTTATTTGCGGCGATACCATGAGCTTTGACATTAACATGGAGATGTCCTAGGGCATATTCGATGACATTGTCATCGAGCATTGCCGAAAAATCATGCATTTTATAAGTGATGCCCGTACTGCAGGGTATTGTGTCTTTACTGACACATGCAAAGATGTTCTCTCTGCGTTGGCTCATGCTGACGCGGCGGTAGCCAAACGTCAGACCCGAACCCCATGGGACTCAATAGTCTGTGTTCGACGTGCGACAAATTCGTTCTAAGAGCTGGCTCATCTATTGTATGGTTCATCTATACTGTATGGTTATTGGCTTTTTCAAAGCTCACAGGATCATCAATAGACCAGTAACTGTGCTGTATTAAATAAAGCTTTAGACCTTTGAAAGTTGCTATAACGCGAAAGGAGTGCTATGCTCCTCCTAGAAATATTCATAATACCCTCTGCCAAAAAATAATAATTATCTCCTTTCGCTTATCAATTTCACTCTAATCTTTTGTAATATATCTTAAATTTATAGTCATGGTATGATTACAAACTGCGATGGGAGCCAAAAGAGTATGGAGGAGTTCATATGTTACATGTACCATCTGATCATATTTGGAGACCGGATATCGTTCTCTATAATAAGTAAGTAAGAGAGATGTAAATAACATTTCATTAATACTTTTACTTTAGTTTTATGAATTGGACATTTATTTTTAAGTTTGTTGTACGTCATAGATTAAAAGTTCAACAAAAGATCAAAAAGTCTTTGAATATAATGTCGTCCAACCGTCGTAAAATTGTCTACTAGTCTGAAACACTAAATCTCCAAAGAATGGGGAAAAGTTCATATTAGGTACAATTATAGGGAATACAAAAAATTATAAAATAGAAGGCTATTCAAAATTAGCTTAATTATATATTTAGATAAGACTTATTTAATGTAAGATTGGAAGCAGTCTGCCAGAAGTCGATTGGTTTAGTTCACTTTGGAAATGAAGTAAACCCCCTTATCTTTTTATCTTTCATATCTGACTTTGAAATCGGGTTGAGAACTCCAACTCCACATTAGGGAATTGCGAAAAATACTTTCTGTCGAGTTTTGAATGATCAGTAACAATTGCCTAGAAGTGGTTTGTGTAGAACCAAGATTACACCAAACTATAAATAAAAGCACTTGTTGTTTGAAAGTATACATTTTACAAATTTCTAATTCCTGGATAGTTGTCAAAGTAGTTCCACCGAAAATACATTGTGAAATTCACAACAAACTCCTGACTTACAAATTAAGATACTCTCAAGCCATACACATATTACAATACCCCTACACTTCAAAGTAACTGTTTAACCAACCAAAGAAATAATAGTTGTGCTACAGAAAAGTAGTACTGTACTATTTCACAAAGAAACCAACATATAACCAACCAATATAACAATCGGACTTAAGCGTCAGACTCTCCAACTACAAAATTTATAATGACGTATGGCGTATACTGTATGTAAGATAGATTAGGCTCGGCGATATGGACATGTCAATGAGCTGCAACATTAACTCAGAGTTTCTACAAGTGAAACAATTTTGTTCAGCCACACGAAGCGATTGGTTCGCGCCGGTTCGAAATGAACGGGTAAAACAAAAACACCCAAGAAATCATACATGGTTGCTTATGAGCGTTCGTTGTTCATGAGCTCTACCCAAAGCGGCGGTTCGGGTTTAGGTCCATTTTCTTTTTGCATGAATATTTTTCTTCCACCTTGCGTGAATTTTTGGTGGGCGTTTGTATCAAAGTATATACGATTTATAATGGATATCAATTCAAAAATTGTTTCTGAACAAATTACGAGTGCCACCTACACCCTGCCTGGTGAACATTCGACAATTCTGTGCTGCTTCGTATTCTGCCGTACGTGCTCAAATGTGTTAAAAAGTTCACTGCAAGATAGCCATAGAATTTGATAGCCATGAAAAATTGAAAACATTGAAAAATACACATCGTGGGTTATTGAACACTGCCATATATTTGTATAGTACAAATAAAACAAATGTTTAGTTTTCAACCCTTTAAAATCAATTTTCTTTGTCAATCAATCATTTCTTGGTTTCACTCTTAATGAATTCATGTGCAAGAAATCCAAAGTCAAAAATGTTCACGCTTTTTCGTGACATTGTCCACTTTGGTAACAATCATACTATTCGGATATACTTAATGTAGCTAAACAATAAATATTTACACCTTGTGATAGGCAGCGAAACCTTTTAAATTAAAGAGTAAACAAAAAATAATTTTTTTTTCTTATTTTACATTTTTTTTATTAACTGCTTTTTTACGTATTTTAAAAATAAAAGTTTCAATTTAAAATATTCTGAATGAAAATAATTATTTCATTTATACGGAGTATGTGTACATATACTTCAAAAAGAGATATGTTATTAAAACAATCTAATTCTGCAATCTAATTTACAAACTGCACAAGCAAAACAAAAAAAATCAAGAAGAAAAGACTTATATCGTATCCAGTGGTAGACTTTGGAACTTTTGAGTTCCACTCTACTAAAATTTAAAAAGTTGCTCGACAGTGTTAAAACCGACTGCAAGGTCATAACACCATTTTCCAATACAACACAAGACAAAGAGCACAGGATACAAAAGCGAATAATATTTTGCATGGATCCAAAAAAAAAAATAATAATAATTATTTTATGTACAAATTGGCTTGGGAGCTTTATAACTTTCTGTTTGTTTTTTATTTTGTTACGATAAAACTAATACTTTCTTTAATATTATAAAATGGATCGATGGTCATGGTATGGATAGACAGAAAAATGTGTTTTTTTTGTATTGCAGAAGATTTATGACCCAGTTTGTACCAGCTGGAAAGCATACATGTGATCTTTACTGGCTAGCCTGCCGGTGAGCATGCTAAGAGATATCCTTACGGGGAAAAATAATGTATTGAAGTAAGCGAAATATATGTATGCCTTAGTTTGGCTTTCTTGTCATGCTGATAGCAGAGCAGCGGCAGAGATGATCGACTTTTACACTTTTGAAATCCAAATTAGCTAGCAAGTTGGAATGCCCAGTGCGCCGAGCTAGTTAGTTTAGCTCATTTTAATGTTAAACTGAAACAATCGATCATCTCTGTCTCGGCGCTGCCACCCACCAGATTGGAACAAAGCCTTCCAACACGAATATCCGGTTACCTTGGCAACTTAGGATCTGCGTCTGTTTACATTAGGGATGCGTTAAAGCGTTTTAAAAAAACGCAGTTTTTGTACATAAAGCATAAACCTAGTGGTATCAAGAATTAACGTTACAAATTTGCCTCTGTACCTTTCTGCCTATCAGCGCAACTATCACCACTAGTAAGAAAAAAAAAACAGATCTAAAAATAAAATTATGGCCTCTAACCATTAAAGGAAAAAGGTAAAAATATACATACCAGGTATGCTCCGATTTCACTTACTTTTGCGTTTTCAACCAAAACGGTCAGTTTTATTTTTTAGGTGCTCACGTTTTCGCACATTTTTAGTTTCTTACGACCTGTTAACGGCACAATTTTTATTTAATGTTATTAGTGTAATACAATTATGTGTAAGAGAGAGCATAAAATCTCCTGTTATTTGTAACAGAGATTTCATTTCGATGTAACGATAACCGAATCTGGCTCCGGCGGCTGGCTGTTATGTTAGTAAAAAAAATGTAAAGTGTTGTTGCCCTGACCAATTGTTTTGAGGGCACAACCTAAGTTGATCTGTTAAAAGTGTAAATTATAATGCATCAATTAGTGATTTATAAATTATTTTTTTTGAGTTAAGATTTGTTTTGTTGTTTTGATTTTGAAAACGGAAAACATTTGCGTAGTGCGAAAACGGGAGCCCCAAATTTTTGGGTTTTTAAAAACAAAAACAGAAAGTTTTTGCGAAAGTGACAACTGGAGCCTGCGAATGTCCTTAGACAGTATTTAAATGGAGTGAGTAAAAGTTCCCATTTCTACAAAGAAAACATAAAGTAAATAAAATCATTGAGTTTTACAAAATTTTGTTTATTTCTTTCCGTGTCATCAAACACACAAATCTCATAAAGTAATAGTGTGCGTTTGCGAATATAAACGCATATTCTGCGTTATTGCATTTATTCTGATATCAATAGAAAACTCGCGTCAGTATACAAAGGCAATGAGACAGCGAAATGTAGAGCAAAGAAAAAAACGATAAGTATTGATACCTTTAAGTTATGATCAATTTGAATAATTTTCTCATCTCGATTTTTGTTTATTTTATTCAGCCAGCATCCGTTTTTCACTTTCACAAAATTTTTCCGATTTACTTTTACTCCCGTTTTCACTATCCTCAAGATTTCATACTTTTCAAAACGGAATCATTTTCCTCGACGAAATGAAAAGTAAACGGCTTTTGCAAAATGAAAATATAATATATAAATATTATTGATGCATTAACATAAACCTAACACCTATATCAAGGCAAATTGGCTGGCGCTTTCTTTGTAAATACATTTTTCTTAACCCAAACTAAAATTTGGCTCGTAATTGGTCAGGGCAACCACTTTTATCTTTGTGCTCCAAGCAGCTGAATCAGTCCGATTTGGTTAAGGGAACGTTGGCAAGCACAATTATGCTTGTAACAGCACAGACTGTGCTTAAAACACGCACGTAACAGAACATCTGGGTAAGGAAGACTGTTTCCTGTCATATAAGATTTCTTGATGTTCTTAACTTGCGTACTTTCTGCCGTCTTTTTGCTTCAAAACAATCAATTGAAAAAAATCCTTTTTATCACGCTGTATATTTTCAAAATAACCAGGTCAGTTTTTTTTTGTTTGCCAGAACCGAGGAGAAAAATACACATATCGATGCCAAAAATTTGTGAAACCGGGAGCTCCTTAAAACGAAAAGTAAACGTGTTGGCTGAAAACGTAATCCGCAAAAGTAAATGAAAATCGGAGCCTGGCTGATTGTTCTGTTTTTGGATGTGTATGTGACTCTTATAAGAGTATTCGACCGGTGTCTTTGATACAAATTTTACTGAACGTTATCAAGTATGGTCATTTCCGTAATTGCATCGCACGGATCACTGTTCAACATTTAAAGTCAAAAAAGTTCAAATAAAACTGATTTCTAGTTTAACAAGAGGCTTTTTTATAAAGGTTGAAGCTTAATTTATAAGTTTGATTTTACCAATTATTTGTGCAAGGTTGATTTGAAAAAATGTTTCGATTTCAAGACAGTTTTAAGAAACCAAGGATTCGTACGAGACAAAAAATTAAGCTGTCGTAAGCAGATAGCGAACTCGTAAGGCAATATTTTAATGTGACTAAGCTTAGAATATTTTTCATTGGTATAAGTCAAATTTTTTTTGTATTATTTTATACTTTTTTTAATTTAATGTTAAACCCGGAACATATCTGACAAGATCAAAAATTTCTTGGGTTAATACATGCTAAAAAATAATCCCTTATATGCTCTGCACACTAAGCACATCTCGAGGGAACGGTGGGAATTTTTGACAGATGTTAATCGGTGTCTATGTTATTTGCTATACTAAAACAATACATATGTGTACAATAAACTTTATTCTTTGGACTCCCTTACAAATTGTAGCAGCTCTGTTTGAAAGTTGGTTTGGC